GTGAGGTGCCTGACTGGGGTCTTCCTCACAGCTTCTTTACAGTGGTGCTTCCTCAGCCCCGCCAGTGACCTGGGAGGAAGTGGTAGAGACTGGGCTCTCATTGGCAGAGACTGGGCTCAGCAAAAGCTGGAAGCACCAGCTTGAGAGCTGGAAATGGCTGTGTGCAGAAAATCCAACAAGCTTCATTTATGTGGGGACCAGACCGAGCTCCTGTAGCTGATCTTCTCCCAGTGATAGCGTGGCATGTTGGTACCGTCGTTCCCTGTGCCCGTTGGAGCACTAGGACTCAATACCGTTTCCCCTCTGCAACTTCCTCCAGGTTCTTAAGCTCTATTTCCTCTAGCCTGACACATGCCTGCCCAGTACTCAGCTTTGCTATCGTTCCCTAAGGGAGGCCCACAGTATACCTCTGCGGGGAAACGAGAGGGGCAGGGAGGATTCTTTAGTTGTAGGTATGAGAACTTGATATCGGTTCACTTCTGGTACCCAGATTCAAAGCTTTATGAAAATCCAGGATACCCATTTATTAATGTGCAAGTGAAGCTATTCCTAGCCCCTGAACCACAACCAACTGAACATTCGGCCCTTACTTCCCACTTTGGGAGGGACTGAGATGATCACAGAGGTTAGAAGGCTGCCAGGTAGCGTGGGAAGGAGATGATGGGCATTAAATAGCCACCAAAATATTTCTGTTAGGTTGTTGGAGAAGTCATGATGCGTTTTTGTGTAGAAAAACATAGAAAATTATGCATGACTTTTCCAACAATTCAGTACTCTGCTATTGTAGCCCAGTGAAATGCACTCTCCACTTAGAGTTGTTTACTTTTCTCCCTTCCCATCAGGGTGAGTTGTATTCCATTTTCATATGATACCCTGCTATAGGTATTAGCATGAGGTAGAGGGTGACCCTTGTTCTAGATGTTTTTCCATCTGACCACAGTCTGTCTATGGTAGCTAGACTCCAGTATGGCCCCTACTGGTCCCTGCCTCCTGGTACTCATACCCTGTATAGTTCCCTCCCACATTATACCAGGCTTAGTCTCTGTGTCCAGTAGGATATGGCAGAAGCAATGTTATGTCACTTATAAAAGACAGTGTGGCTTCCATCTTGGGTGCCCTCTCTCATTCACTTTCTTGGACCATTCACTAGGAGAAGCCAGCTGCTGTGGCATAAATAACTCTACAGGGAGGCCCACATGTCAATGAAATGAAGCCTGTAGCCCACAGTCACATGAGTGGACCGGGAAGTGGGTGCCTCAGGTCCAGTCTTCAGATGACTGCAGCCCCATGTGAGAGCTTGGCTACGGTTCCTGAAAGTTCCTGAGCCAGAAACACCAGCTCACTGGTTCTCAGATTCCTAACCCACAAGAATGTTTGAGATAATGAATGTTTGTTGTTTTGGCTGCTAAGTTATGGGGTCATTTGTTACACAGCAGCAGATAACTAATACACCATCCCGTGATGCTCCTTAGTTCCTCTCCTATTTCTCATGCAGACAGATTCTTATAAGAGTCTCTCCAGAAATGCCTGTACATTTCTGAGGACACTAGGCATGGACTCAAACACTGAGACACTCGTAGTCCATTACTGACTATAGTTTTTGGGGTTTTTGGGGGGTTTTTTTGGGGGGAAGAGGGAGGGATATTTTCTGATTTTTCCTCAGAGTCAGGGTGGGCAATGAGGAGGACCAAGAACTCTCCATGGTCTGAGAAAACCTTTATCTAATCTGGAGGAAAGGTTATAACAAGAGCCACTGCTGGAGTGTTTGCAGCAGTCTAGGATTGCCAATTCCTCACCTTTGACAGACTCAGACTCTCACTGCCTCACTCGCCCGCCCCCCACTGGTGAGACAGAAAGGAATGTCCTCCCTTCCTGGCGCTCATCCTTCCTCCACTTCTCTAAGTTGTTTTACAGATAATCCCATTTCACAGAGGCTGGGCCGATGTGCACAAAGTCATACTGGTTTACTCAAGTTCAGCCGTTGAGTCGTTGGGAAAGTCATGACACATTTTTGCATAGAAAAACAGAAAAAATATGTCATGACTTTCTCAACAACCCAATAGTTTGATCAGACCATTTTTTTAAGCTCTTATCTGGGTCATTCCTGTTATACATGTCTTGGACACTAAGGAGACAGGCATTTGCTTGACTCCAGGGGTTGATGTTCTTTTAGTTTCATAACTGATTAGTGCCTGCACTTTTTGAAAACTCAATGTGGTTATGTGTGTATAAGATCTGGGTTCTAAAAAGTCAAATTTAATATGAAACCAAAAGAGCTCAGAGTGTAGAGTATACTTTGAAGAGGACCTAACTCTGTCCTGAATGTTCCTGCAGTCTCCTGGAGAATGACCACACATACTCTGAACAGCCACAGCCACGTGTGGCTCCTAATGCACCGTCAGGGAACTGTGGTTGTGGCTCTTCATATCCTCAGCTCCCTAGAATAGTTAGTGAGAAGATAGCCCCTCTGTCTCGGTCCCTTAGTCTACACTGAAGAATTCCGGCTCTTCTCTCTTAGAGCATCATACTTTAAGCTTTCCTGAGCAGTCTGTGGATCTCTCAAAGTGGGGAAAAAAAAGTGCTTCTTTCTGGAAGGGTCATCAGTCCAAGCAGGCCACACTGACTCAGGACTCAACAGGCAGGACCTGCTGGAATCAGGGGGAGGAATGGAGAAGGGAGGGCACAGCCTTCTCAGAGTCTCGCCTGTGTTTCTCCAACTACTGGCAGTGATGACGCTGCAGTAGCAGCACTTCCAACCCACAAGCCTGTTGATATAGGCCAATTCCAGGGTCTCCCGAAAAACTGCAATCCATGCAACCCTCTTCTGCTCAAGACTACTTTGTTACTAGGGTGCAAACTCTCTCCTGCCCTCAGGGATTCTCACTCAAATCCAGTACCTTTTAGTGCTGCTGCTGTTATTGTTAGAAGTAAATAAACAGTATTTGCTGGAACTCCTATAACTACCATGCCATGCCATTACTTTCAATGCATGTTTGTTTGTTTGGATGGGGCTCTCTATTAAAAGCATTCTTTTTAAAAGCAGAAACAGATAAATCCCAAACTAGTCCAGTTTGTAGATGCTTCAGGCAAACTCCACCTCTGATCAAACTTAGGAGGGGACCATGTATCAACTCAGGATTAAACTACAATAGATGAGGCTCCCTTCAACTTCAGGATAAACTTGTGGGGATTACGTCACTCCTCCCAACCACCCTCCTTTTTAGGAGAAAGCAAGCCTCCGAAATGCCCATTCCCCATGGAAGGATGGCTCAGGGCATACCTCAGGAGGGTGTGCTGTCTGAGGCGGCATCACAGTCCAGCCTTTGGCAGGCCCAGGCTTCCCTTCCAAAGAGCCAGGTCTAGAGAGACTCCAAAACCACCTGCAGGGAGAACAAGGAGGAGGAGCTCCAGTTCCCTGAAGCAGGAGGCAAGTTCCACTTCAGACACAGGTGAGACCCTCGGGCTCTGTGCTCAGGGGCTTCACTCACTCCTGTTGCAGGTCACAAGGAAGCAGGTGCTTTGCTCAATGGAGTTTCTGGCCCTGCTGATCTGCGGTGTTGCTGTTACCATCCTCTTCAGAGACCGATCTCTAAGGGCCCATATTGTGTCATCTCTCTCCACCCCTGAGTTCTTTCCTGTGTGTTTTACGTCTCCCCAGACAGGTCATGAGTGCTTTGAAGTCAGGCGATTGAAAGGACATTAATGTTCAAGGAGCACCTACTGTAGGCCAAGTCTGGTATTCAGGCATAACGTAAATGGTCCTCCACTTACCGTGGGGTTCCATGCTGTCAAGTCTGTATTTCTTTGGAGAATCATTTAGTATCAGATTTTTAATATTTTCTTCTTTTGGTGGGAAATGTGAGCAGATTTCAAAAGTAAATAAATAAATAAATAAATAATGAGACCTTGGACATGTTACTTGAATTGGCTGTTTTAGTTTCTGCTTCTGTGAGAATTAAATGAGATACTATATATTTGTTAGAATTGGGTTTTTCTGTGACAGAAAATCTCCCGCAGCATGGACAGGTTGGCATCCAAGTGTCCAGAGCATTGGGAATTCAGGCTCCCTTTATCTTGTGTTTTCTATGATTGTCACTTCAGCAGTCAGGGCTGTATTTATCAGAAAAAGACGAAAGGGAGAGGAAGGACGGGTGGCCACGCTTTCGGGAAGCTGGCTAGCACCTTTCTGCTACTGCTACTTCTGCTTCTATCCTGTTGGTCAAAACTTCTGTCTCATGTACTAAGCCAGAGCGCAGTTTCCATTGGGGGGACAGGGGGGCACGTGCCTCAGTAAAACTAGGGGTCTCTTTCTCTAAGGAAAGAGAGAACAGAAATTGGGGAGCAGCTAGCAGCCTTTGTCGCAGGATGGAAAGCATCGTTCGATTGTGCCTGGGACAAATCAGTACCTATTAGTGCTGCTGCTGTTATTGTTAGGAGCAGATAAACAGCGTCTGCTGGAACGATAACTACCATGCTGATTACTTTCAATACAGCTTTTTTTTTTAGAATTATTTTATTTATTTATTTATTTTAATTTGACCAGAGAGGGACAGAGCAAGAGTGAAAGCAAGAGTGAGTGAGTGAGAGAGAGAGAGACAGAAAGTGAGAAAACAAGCTGCCAGGTCTGGGACTCGAACCCCATTCTGCCATGTGGGAGTTGTGTGCCCTTAACCACCATGCCACCTTCCGGCCCCCTTTCAATGCGTCTTAACACATATCCACAGTGTGCCAGTGTGGCTGTGTGGGTGCACATAGCCCAGCTGGAACAAGGAGGTGGTTCTGAAGGTCTGGTGGGGATTTTCTGAGCTTCTGAGGTTGAAGCCCAAGAACTGGTTTAAGGATGTGCCTGCCAAGGTGGGTCTTGGGTGGTGGGGGCTGGAGAGTTTCAAATACAGCTCTGCCCCAGAACTCGGGGTGCCTCCTGACCCCATCCCATGAACAAAACAACACTGAAAAGATTGAAATTCAGAAAAGTTAACTTAGAGCTAATCCCTTTCTAGGTTCTCAGAGACGGAGGCTCATCCCAGCGCTGTCCCTCGACACCTCCTCCCCTGTGAGAAAACCCGCCAATAGTGCGGGGGTCCGCTGGGTGGACGGCCCCTTGCGGAGTGCCCAGCGGAGCCTTGGGGAACCTTTTGAGATTAAAGTCTATGAGATTGATGACGTGGAGCGCCTGCAGCGGCGACGAGGGGGCACTGGCAAGGTAAGGCCGCTTCCTCCCCACCTGGTGGGAGTTCCCCAGCAGAGCAGGTACCAGGGCAGTGCCCTCGGGCACAGACAGCTCACACCCAGAGGCACCTCCCAGTGGGTCCCTGGTGTAGGGGGTGGGCATTGGCTTCTTTCTAGCATAGGAGCTCTTGGACAGAGACTTCAGAGACAGTGCCATGTGTCTCTTTTTGACACATCTCTAAGGCTCACAGGTGGGGGCAGCTACAGGTCTATGGGGCATTGGTGGCTCCCTGCCTTGAGGTTCACACTCCAGTGCAGACCAGCATTTGCTCAGCCCCGAACACCATCTGCTTTCTAAATATGAAAGGCACCCATGCTAGTCCTGCCTCTGAGTGGGTTGTCGGAGCTCACTCATCCGTGAGGCCGCCTGGGTCCCTCCGCAGCTCCCCAGGGATCAGCTCCTTTTCATCGACTATACTCAGAAGTGTCCCTTCTAGAAGAGAGCACACGGACTGGAGTTGAGCAGGAAGCCCTTTTCTCATTCTTCCCACTACCCCCATCTCCTGTCTTTCCTAGGAGGTCATGTGCTTCAATGCGAAGCTGAAAATCCTGGAGCACCGCCAGCAGAGGATCGCCGAGGTCCGCGCCAAGTACGAGTGGCTGATGAAGGAGCTGGAGACAACCAAACAGTACCTGATGCTGGATCCCAACAAATGGCTCAGTGAATGTAAGGCCCGCGGTGCATTTCATCATTGCAACCAAGGGGTTGGCTTGTAACCCAGGGTGAGGTCTACCCAGACTGTGCCCACATCCAAGCATACAGTACCCCTCAAACGCAGACCGTCACCCTGAGTGAACAACTCGAGTCTCCCCAGGGGCAAGCAGGAGGGGCCAGGGGCAGCAAGGAGGTGGTCAATGTTGCTCTCGTAAGATTATTTCTTATGTGTCTCAGTCCAAAGCACCTGGAAATGCGATTTTTTCACCCCTGCATGTGGCAGAAGCTCACCCAGACATGAAAGCTGTATTACAAATCTGCTCCTAGGCCACCAAATCATGCTACACATCTAGCCTGAAATAGACAAGAATTTATAGAGCTCTTAATAGAGTCGAATGTGCAATCCTAGAGAAGCCTCACAGAGAACTCAGAGAGGAAGAAAAACATTTTTTTGAGTGGGAAAAAAATAACCACTGCAATGTGATTTCCATTTAATAGAAAGCCCGGGATGACAGTAACCATCCAAAGACAATTCAGAACAATTCTGCTTTCTTGAAAGACGTATTCAATTGTCTCTTATTTATTTGTTCCTAACCATTCCATTTACCACAAAATGAAACTTAAATCCGGTCTCAACCATTATACTGATATGGAAACCAGTGCTGGAAGACTTAGTCTGTGGGGCGAAATGCAGAACTGTCACGGAAGTACCCGTCCCCTCCCTCTCCTGCTTAGCCCCTCACATCTCCAGCAGCCCCCTCTTCCAACACCCCTGCCCTAAACAGCGCCACCCTCTCCCAGTATGCCCTGCCAGCAGGGAGGGCCCACAGCAGGTGGAGTCCACAGGCGTAGACCTGCATTCCAGAGGAGCTGGTTTTAAAGCATTGGGTGAAATGATACTGTGTGAGAAAGAAGGTGACAGGATGTGTCAGCCGCCTAGCTGCACCCTGCCCTTGTGACAGTATGTCTTCAAGTGGTTTCCTTCCCACATGGAGAGCGTCCCACAGTGCTTTTGACCATAACTCATCTCACTGGGTTCTTCTGACTATAACCCAGCTATGGCAACCCTACACCCACATCTGTGGCTGTGGCACACCCATACAGATGGCTCTGGATGCCATCTTTCCACATACCAGCTGTTGGACCTTGGACGAGATCCTTAACCTCCCTAAGCTTTGATTTCCTTCACTGTAAAATGGGGAAAATAATGGTGCCTTCTTCATGGGATGGAAGTCAATGAGTGACTGTGGGTCGGGGCTTATTCCACTGATTGGCCCATGATGAGAAGCCAGTATCTAGTAGTAGTTATTATTTTAAAAAATTCTTATTGTTGACCCAAATTTGGCTAAACAGTATCCTCAGCAGAGGCTGCTTGAATGATGCACTGAGTTAGGTCGGCCATCAGGAATTTGGACTTAATTTGCCCTTCCAAGGGCATATTAGCAAGAGGCCCATGGGCAGACAAGGCAAGAACAAAGACATTGGCTAGGATCTGGCCAGGGCCTTAACACAGAGCCTGTTTCCTTCCTTCAGGAATCCCTAGGCTCTTCCAGATCCCAGGGGCATCTGTGCAGGCAGTTTCCCTTCATTTTTACTATTTTCATTAACATTTTATTTTTTCAAGAGCTCTTGATGCCCAAGGCAGACATGAAAATGATCTTTATCGTACAAAGGTAGTTTTTCCTTCCCAAGGTGGAAAACGAGCTTGAACATCGGTACCATGTGTTCAGATGCTTCTAGGAAACAATTGCTTTCCTCTTGCCTTTGTACATGTCGAGAATCAGTGATTTTTTGATGCTGGGAAAGGGGATGAACACAAGGCTATGTGAAAAGGGAAATATGGATTTTTTCTTTACAATGAATTGAAAATAAGATTAAAAAACAAACAAACAAAAATCTCAGTGAGGCTGCATGCTAACTATTCCCTATAGGTTATAGGCAGGATATTGGCCAGAAATATGTGTGCTAGGGTTCATTTTTATTCTTTAATTCTGATGCCATCTTCAAAATGGTTCAGTAATGTAGCCTGATGTGATTATGGTATGTATGGTGGATTTTTTTGTTTTTGTTTGTTTGTTTGTTTGTTTGTTTTTCAAATATTAGTCTGATATTCAGGGGTCCCCAGTCTCCTTCCAGCTCTATCCTTGTTTTCAAGTAAGCCCTAAGTGAGTCACTGTCTGGTCTGGATCTCAAGATCTGGAAGGAGAAGTCAGTTTCTACTGTGGTCTCTGAAGTTTCTGTAGCATGTTAGGGTTTTCAGGCCAGGTTTCTACTCATGATCTCTATTTTATTCTTCATAGTCATTTCAGCTAGGTAGGGTAGGCAGGAATCATTGCTGTCCAGCTGTTCTAGTGAACCCGTGAGTGGAGGTGACAAGTGACCTTACCTAACGGCCAAGCTGTAAACCAAATGCAAGTCTCCTTCCTTCGACTTTGGGCCTTCCCCACCGACTGTGGCTGCTGTTCTTGCCCTTCTGCCCTGTACTGGACTCTGCTGCACCCCTAGATCTGGGACCAGGCAGCGCCCCCACCCTCAGCTACTGGTAGACAAAGTGGAGGACCTGGGCCAGGAGGGCATGAACCCAGATCTCTGCCCTCCAGGAAATGAAGGACATGGAGCGTTCCCTGTTGAAAGAATCAGGTCCTAAGTCTCAGGGTGCTAAGTTTAAGAAATCCTAATTATCAATCTGGATTCATCAGATTTCCCAAATGACCGGTGAATAGTGACACTGCCCAAGGAAGGGCCAAGGAACAGGGCCAGATTTCTCAGCCTGAGGCAGCTGCATATGGTGCATGGAAGAATAACTGGCGAGGGACGTACTAGGAAGAGGCAGAGGTACAGATGCCACTCACGTGAGACCCCAGGTGGAGGAGCTACTTCCTTGATGGTCCATGAAGAATAATAGCGCGATATTCACAGAGCCTATGGTGGAGGTGGCAGGGGGGGAGGGGCACCGTTCCTCTGCATAGTTGCAACAAATTAAAGATCTAAAACTCTCCACTGAGGACAGGGCAGAGGGACCACAGGGCAGCCTAAGGTAGGCAGAATTGGCTTTGGCGTGGGGGCGCGGTTAGCAGCCCATCTGGGCAGTGCGGCGAGGGGTCCTGTCCATGCTGCCTTTCCACCGGCCTCCTCCTCTTTTGCAGTCGACCTGGAGCAGGTTTTGGAACTGGACTCCCTGGAGTACTTGGAGGCGCTGGAGTGCGTGACGGAGAGGCTGGAGAGCCGTGTCAACTTCTGCAAGGCCCACCTCATGATGATCACCTGCTTTGACATCACCTCCAGGCGCCGATAGAGCACAGACATCCCACCCATCCGTGCCCTCCCCAGGACTCCACAGAGATACCGCACTCCCCCGGCCTCTGTGCTGGCGGCACTTGAAGACAACAGAACGAGAATGAAGGTTGGTGGCAAGTCTGGAGTGAGCGTTGAGCAGAAAGCGATTTTTTTCTTTTGTTTTCTGTAGGAAAGGTGCAAACACCAAACACATGGAAGGAGAAAATGATGGGAAGCCCCGTGGGACTGAAAAAGCACTTTGAGGAACTTTAAGGAACTGTTTGTACATAAGAACTGCTAGCAGAAGGGACCTCACTCTTCTCTTGCTTTCGTGAGAAAGGGGGAGGACGGATGGAGGGTTGCTGTTGAAAGCAAAAACAAAACAACAGAAAAAGACCCAGAATGACTGATTAAGTGCCTTGCAAATCTTTACAATTATCCAAACGTTCATGTTCCTACTTTCTTGTGTACAGATGGTGCTAGTCAAGATGAAAACAACAAAACAAACAAAAAAGAAAAATCAAACACATTTTCAAAATGTATTTACAGCTCATTTTCTCTTGGTGTTTTATCCTATTTCTGACTTGCTGTTTCTAAAGTTGTGTTTGTAGAGATATTTCCTAATCAGTATCGCATATGAATAAATGTTAACTGTCCTTAATGGTTATTCTGGTAAGGCCACTCAAGCAGAACACAGAGACTCCATCGGCCCAAGCCAGTGTGCGTTTGCAAAGGAAGGTCGGAGCAGCCACCGGTGCACCATGCCACCTCCCACAAGGAGTGACAGCAGGTGACTTGGCGTGTTGATCATAGAGCACGTGTATATGAGCTATAGAGAACCAAGACAAGACAGGGCTTGCAAATCCAAGTGAGAAAGAGCCTTCTCTGACCCAGGCCTCCCTTCTCCCTGTAGGTGGGCTGTTAGTACTGTGTACAGTCCCACTCTCCTGACCCACAAATCCAGGTTCTCATGGTCCTTAAAACATTTTCATATTCACTTTTATTCCAAAGACTCTGGACTGAGTCATATCTCTTTGTTTTCTAGTTTTGCAAATTCATTAAAGCAGAGGGGAAGGGGCTCCCAGTTTAGAGACCACAGGCTTGCATGTGCTCAGAGACACCGACAGCATTAGTTTAAAACAGGATCCTTAGGATTGTATACTTTTCTGTTGTTCAGAAAACTGCCTAAAAACAAGACACTCAGCACGCCCATGGCCCCAAGCCTCCACACCAACAAGGGAAAAAGCTTGTTCCCATAAGCCTGGCGCCTGAAGTTAGAAGTTTCCCCTCCATAAATCCCAGAATGCATATCTAAGAATTTAGGACCTCATTCTCAAGTGGCAACAATTCCCCTCAGGATTATTACACCCATTTTAGTGGTAGATACCCAAGGCACAGAGTGACCAAGAGATTTGCCTGGGAATGCTTTGGGACAGCTGAGGCAGCACAGCTTCCAGGATCCTCCCACTTCGGGGCAGGGCCCTGTTCAGGGCCTCTGGGGCCTTCCCACTGTCAGCTGTGCTCAGGGTCTGTGCAGAGCACTATGCGTTTGTGTTCTCGAGGACAGCATAGCTTTCTGAGCCTGTTTCCAGGTGAGGCTGACCCTGCTGACCAACTCCTCAGTCCCAACTGTTCTCCAAGGAAAAAGCACCTTTGCATTTCTTGGTCCTATGTCTGGATGCATGTAGCACAGCACAGCTGGCTCAACAGCCAGTGAGGCTCAACTGAACTCAGTCCGTGGGAACCGGGTCTGTGAGTGTCACGATACCTGCTCTGTTACTTGTCAGAACAGGGCACAGGTGGCCCCGTTAGCGAGCTGGCTGGCTGGCTTTGTACACTCTGTAAGAGCCTGCGTCTATGCAAAAGTGCTCACAGAAGATACTCCCCAATCTGCTAGTTGAGTGAACTGCTCTGGAATGTCATTGTCCCCTCTGTGCATCCCCCAAGTTTGACAAGCACGTTGCCTTAGGAAGCTGGGCCTCCCCCAGCTCCTCAACCTTAACCCCATTCTGCAGGACAGTCCATGACTTTGGGCAGCCCCTGGCCTCACAGCATGGGACTGCTAATGGCAATATTCTTGGAAGTGTCTGAACCCAAAGGGATACCAATCCTTTGAGTTTGTCATTTGGCCTCCCTGTTGGCTGGTTTGAAATAGATCACTTGATGAACAGCTTTTAACTTGGGGATGTCCAAAGTGACTCTTCCTTGTTTCTGGTTGGGGAGAAATTCATTTAATTAGTAATCAGTGAATCTGGCTTTTGCCTCTACCACATAGCCCACCCCACCCCTGAAGTCTTCATGCTGCACTGACCCTAAGCAGGCTAATGATGGCGTCTGGTGCCTTTCCTGGAATGAGACCAAGTGACAACATTTACAGAGATTTAAAACAGTCAGTGCAGCCTTTTCTAGAGGAGTGACCCAGAGGTTAGGCCTCCTGCCTAAACCTGCTTTTGTACAGGTGTAGTGGCTTGTGATGTAACCCAAAGGCTGAACGAGGCACGAGTTACCAAGTCAGACGACTTGGTGGCTTCCCCAGGGGACAGGTCACAGACTATCTCATAGGATCCTAAGAACAGCTTTGCGTGGGCGTAATGGATTCTCTTTTCTTTCTTGTTATGCTTTTTGTTTGTTTGTTTATCTAAGTGAGCTGCAAAGCTCTTAATTTACCAACTGTTGATAAAGCAGGTGAAGGAATCACGCACTTTGTACTATGCTGCACCTGTTCCTGGCGCACCTATTAATGACTGTGGATGATGGTCTTCAGGCACAAGGGAAGCAGGGGTGGTCAGCTCTTCTGAAGCTGTCCCCGAAATGGAACACCTCCAACAGTGGCCAGATGCGAGGCAGTTCCAGGGCCCCTTTTTGGTTTTGGTGACAGACAACCCAAGAAGGCAAGGGGAATGTCAAAGAACCCACATCTCGTTCATTTTCCTCACATGAAGGAACCAGAAAAATGTTTACTGTAAGTGAATATGGAGACGCATAGCCTTATTTCTTTGTCTGAAACCTGTCTCCCGCTCCCTGATCCAAATAGCTTAGAGTGAGATGAAGGCCTTAGCAGCCGTGCAAAAATAAGATCCAAAAAAGGAATGTTGTTTCCCCAGGAGTAAATCCAATTGCATTTCATGACGGCGTTTCATGCTTCGAGAGAGTGATCGTTTGCTCTGTCCTCGGCTTTCAGTCCCCACCTGAGAGCTACAACCTTTGATCTTCTTGTCCTTGAATTCCCCTCCACATGGGGAAGCTGCTCTAACTTTCATCTTTTCCAGATTTGAGATCAGAACACCCCGCCTGTTGTTTTATCTCCCATTGCTATTCTGAACATGGGGAACTCCAGATGCAAACGCAGAAGCAGGTCCCGTGTTGACACAGGTGGGAATCACATAAGGACCCCAAGTGGGGAGGAGGTTCCTCGCATCAGAAGCTGGATTAAAAATCATGTAGCCCAGCATGGGGAATTCGGCAGGCAGAAATTTGGCACCACTAGTTGTAAATTAGCCTTATGCCTGAAGTCTCATGGGGTCCTGTAGGGCAGCTGTGACCTGACTGCAGCCACATCTGCCATCCGGGCTGGTTCACGGTCTGACCCACACAGGAGTCTTTCACCTGCTGCAAATTCTGTTCAGTTGTTGAGCAAGAATTGCACTTGTGCCCTCTTGGGTGTGTTTCTCATATCCTTATAAACCAACCTCTTTGGGCTTCAGATTCTCATGCTCATCATTACTTTTGGTTAATCCATAAGCCTTCATTGCAAATGTTATACTGAAAGCAGCTGTCTGACCTTGCCTCCCTGCGAGGGAAAGCAAGGCTATCGGGAGTCTGCAGATGGTTCAGCGCACACCAGATAGCCTATGTCACTGGTCACCGCTGCTCTGTAGTTGAGCCTTCAGAAATGATAATGGGTGAGTGTTTTGTAGGTTCCTTCTTCAACAAAGATTTTTAGACTGTAAATTATTAAAGATTAGTTCATTTCAAAATTGAAAACAGAATTCATGAATTGACTCATGCTTCTCTGCTATAATATTAGCCCACTCTTTGAGCATATATGAAAAAACATTTCCTCACTTGTGGACCAGCCCAGGGCACAGTGGCGAAGGTGGCTGGATCCCACATGGCTCTGTGGTTCAAGTCCCAGACTCGGTTCCTAGAAAAACAAGTCAGGTGCATGTGTGTGCATGCCCACAATCCCAAAAGAAGGGTGAAATGGAGAAGAGATTGACCTGTAACTATCCCCCACAGGGGGTGCTTTCTCTCTCACTGTGTCAGCCAGCTTACAAATCCTCTAGCAAATTAAAAACACACACACACACACACACACACACACACACACACACACAATACAAACACCCCTCCCAAGTGACAACATTTACAGAGATTTAAAACAGTCAGTGCAGCCTTTTCTAGAGGAGTGACCCAGAGGTTAGGCCTCCTGCCTAAACCTGCTTTTGTACAGGTGTAGTGGCTTGTGATGTAACCCAAAGGCTGAACGAGGCACGAGTTACCAAGTCAGACGACTTGGTGGCTTCCCCAGGGGACAGGTCACAGACTATCTCATAGGATCCTAAGAACAGCTTTGCGTGGGCGTAATGGATTCTCTTTTCTTTCTTGTTATGCTTTTTGTTTGTTTGTTTATCTAAGTGAGCTGCAAAGCTCTTAATTTACCAACTGTTGATAAAGCAGGTGAAGGAATCACGCACTTTGTACTATGCTGCACCTGTTCCTGGCGCACCTATTAATGACTGTGGATGATGGTCTTCAGGCACAAGGGAAGCAGGGGTGGTCAGCTCTTCTGAAGCTGTCCCCGAAATGGAACACCTCCAACAGTGGCCAGATGCGAGGCAGTTCCAGGGCCCCTTTTTGGTTTTGGTGACAGACAACCCAAGAAGGCAAGGGGAATGTCAAAGAACCCACATCTCGTTCATTTTCCTCACATGAAGGAACCAGAAAAATGTTTACTGTAAGTGAATATGGAGACGCATAGCCTTATTTCTTTGTCTGAAACCTGTCTCCCGCTCCCTGATCCAAATAGCTTAGAGTGAGATGAAGGCCTTAGCAGCCGTGCAAAAATAAGATCCAAAAAAGGAATGTTGTTTCCCCAGGAGTAAATCCAATTGCATTTCATGACGGCGTTTCATGCTTCGAGAGAGTGATCATTTGCTCTGTCCTCGGCTTTCAGTCCCCACCTGAGAGCTACAACCTTTGATCTTCTTGTCCTTGAATTCCCCTCCACATGGGGAAGCTGCTCTAACTTTCATCTTTTCCAGATTTGAGATCAGAACACCCCGCCTGTTGTTTTATCTCCCATTGCTATTCTGAACATGGGGAACTCCAGATGCAAACGCAGAAGCAGGTCCCGTGTTGACACAGGTGGGAATCACATAAGGACCCCAAGTGGGGAGGAGGTTCCTCGCATCAGAAGCTGGATTAAAAATCATGTAGCCCAGCATGGGGAATTCGGCAGGCAGAAATTTGGCACCACTAGTTGTAAATTAGCCTTATGCCTGAAGTCTCATGGGGTCCTGTAGGGCAGCTGTGACCTGACTGCAGCCACATCTGCCATCCGGGCTGGTTCACGGTCTGACCCACACAGGAGTCTTTCACCTGCTGCAAATTCTGTTCAGTTGTTGAGCAAGAATTGCACTTGTGCCCTCTTGGGTGTGTTTCTCATATCCTTATAAACCAACCTCTTTGGGCTTCAGATTCTCATGCTCATCATTACTTTTGGTTAATCCATAAGCCTTCATTGCAAATGTTATACTGAAAGCAGCTGTCTGACCTTGCCTCCCTGCGAGGGAAAGCAAGGCTATCGGGAGTCTGCAGATGGTTCAGCGCACACCAGATAGCCTATGTCACTGGTCACCGCTGCTCTGTAGTTGAGCCTTCAGAAATGATAATGGGTGAGTGTTTTGTAGGTTCCTTCTTCAACAAAGATTTTTAGACTGTAAATTATTAAAGATTAGTTCATTTCACCACCCAAAAACAAAACCAAAACAAAAACAGGTGAAATGGAGAAGAGATTGACCTGTAACTATCCCCCACAGGGGGTGCTTTCTCTCTCACTGTGTCAGCCAGCTTACAAATCCTCTAGCAAATTAAAAACACACACACACACACACACACACACACACACACACACAATAAAAACAATCCTGACTTTAAAGGTAGTGTATCTTAAACCCTGAAACCACTGCAGTAAGAACAGGCTGAAAGCTTTTTACTATTAGTCGATGCTAACTATACCGTCCATGGCCATTGTCCCTGGAGGCTCCGTGCTGCCACCTAGGCAGTGAGGCCCAGCTTCCCACAGTGGGGTGGACACCTTAGACAGCTGTGCAGGCTGTGCAGGCTGGTGCAGCCCACGTTTCTGGGCACCAAATTAAACAGAACCAGACACTCAGTGTCACTGATATTGCCAGTAAAGGGGTCTAAAATCTGGGGGGCAGGAGGGCAGGTGGTAGAAATATAGCATCTCATTGGATGATAATATCTTTCTCTTCCTCTAGAAAACTTTCACCAACACATGTGGGTTAAAAACTCAAGTGGTGCCAATTTGCAATCTTCTGGACAAAGTAATGTATCTTCTAACTACACACCGCTCTTTAGTCTCACAGTAATGAAAGCGTACTTCCAATCCAGGAGAAGCTATTGTAACTTCAGTTGATTACCCCCCCCCAATTTTTTTGAAAAATTCTTAAAACAAATGTATCCATCACTAAACAAATGCATTCTGCTTTTTGGGTGGCCCTACTCAGAAACTGAGGGGATGTCCTGGTAGTGCTCCTTGAGGCAGCATCAAGCCTTCCTTGCGTCTGATTACTCATCTCTCAAGGCCGTTGTTTCCGGTGCCTGCGTGTGTAGACGTGAGTGCTGAAATACCAGTGCTCGTTCCTCTGTTTGATGTATGCCTAGAAATGACCTTGAAAACTGAAATGGGCTCGTTTCTTCTTTCCCCATGCTGACACCCCACATTGTCATACTCAATCTATGGAGAAGTTCTAATTTATTGTGAGCTCAGGATGTTGTCTGATAGCCCTGCTTGTGTTTTATCATTTATTTATACACCATGGTTGGAAACGCTGTGCGAGTGCTATGCGTTGAAGTGTACGTCTGGTGGGCCTGTCCGTGGCTAGGTTTTGTTTTGTTTTTCCTGTTTTTCTCGCTCTAGCAAAGTGTGGTAGTGGAGACATGGGCTGGGAGGGAGGAAAGATAAATTGAGAGCAGGGATTAGGGCCCGATCCTCAAAGTATAGGGCTTATTCAAAATCTAAGCTAGCTTTATAGTAAGGAGCTGGGGGACGATCCCTTCGTTTTGAATCTAATGATAATGGGCTTGGGAATCAGCCGTCACAGGCCTGGGTGGAAGAGGATCCAACTCTTCCTGCTGGTTTAACACTAAACTTTAGAGAAAAGTGCTGACAGTATCCAGTCCCGACACGTCCCTAAGACCTCTACCCACCCTGGTGCTACTCTAGGGGGTCTGGGAAAACAACTAGGGCCTCTTACCTTGGATGTATAATAGTACCAGTTTTTTCTAGAGAAACCAAAGCACTTTAATGAGTCTTACAACCCATAATACTTAAGACCTCTCATCCCCTTACTGGATCTCTGAGAGGCAGGGAGGGGCTGAGGTCACTAATCTCATTGCTGAGGCAGCTAAACGTAGGAGGAAAAGACTTGAGCTAGGAGAAAAGAAACCAGGGCAGCAGGCCTGGTCCCATCACTAGCTGTGCAACCCTGGGCCCGTCACTTCACTGTGCTGGGCCTCGGGGTCCCCAGTAGAAGACTGGGGGGGTCCTGATAGCTACCCTTACAGGATAGTGTAGAGAGGGAATGGTGTAACTGCCTGGAAGTGCTTTGAAGAAATTAAAGTTCTACGCGGGGGCTGAGAATCATCATTTGTAGATGAAGAAAAGCCAGTAGTCATCAATTGGCCCAAGTTCACAGAGTCGTTTTATAGCAGAACTGGGGCGTGAGTCCAGCATATCGTGGTCACATCACACAGGTGTGTGCTTCTGTGAGTACACGCAGGACCCCGTACCAGTGTGTGTGTACATACGTGGACGTTTGTCTACAGGAGGTATGTGATGTGTCAGATCGCATAAAACAGAAAACCCGAGTTCTAATTCTGTTTGACCATAGTCCTACAGTCGCGAATATGTTACCTAACTTCTCTGGAACTCAGTTTTCGAATCTGTAAAATGAGGACATTGTGCTAAACGGTCTTTGTGGTTCCCTCAAGCTCTCGCTCTATGATTCCATGATTCGTATGTATGTATGTATATATAAATATGCTTATCTGTAGAAATGGGCCCGTTGAGAAAAATTGGACATGAGGCCTGCCCAAGCGCATTTATCGCATCAGAAACAGCAAATTCACAAGCCAGTGCACAAAATATTGTTTCAAAAGTCAACAACGGTATTCAATATCGCCTTTGTAAATTCACTGGTTAACCAGAGAGAAGATTGGTGCCATTTTAAAAATTAAGTTCTTAGCTCATAGGTGTTTGCTGTTCAAAAATGTTAAATATGACTCATTCGTGAAAAGTCCGAAATTCAACTATTCTGTACTTGGGCAGGCCCCAGCAGCCTGTGGAGGCTGCTTTGGTATAAGGGCCTCTCCATAGCTATATAAAAGTGAGCTGTTGGCTTGATCATGATAAATATGAGCAGGCTCCCTGGAAGACAGTCCAGAAGAGAGTTTCGTTCTCACAAACTGGTGACATGAATCCATTACGGTGTGTGCCATTTCCAGTGTGAAGACATTGTTTGCTGGCTACGATCTCTGACTTTTTGTGGCATATGAAGTGTAAAATGTTGTCAAAAAAAAGAATCTGGTGTTTAAAAGAATCAAACTATGGTGGCATTAAATGTTCACTTTTATTCTACCCAGAGTCACGGATGCCTCTCTCTCCAGTTCATCCTTCTGTTCATAGGGGGAGAGCAAACCCTGGCCTGCCTGGGTGGGCTCTTCCCACAGAGCAGCTCCTTGGCCTCCGTCTGCCCACCAGGCCCGTCAGGACTTCCTGGGATGAGGTCCATCTAGTTCTACTCTGGGGCTGGCCTCCAGCAAGCTTAGAAGTTCCTTCTGTAGTGGAAGGGGGAGAGGAAGTCACAGAGCCCCTAGAATTTTCTAGGCCCATGAGGGACCGC